AAATTCCATTCCTCCAGTAATTTAAAAACCTTCTTTATAAAAAAAAACATTTTATAACAATATGGTCTGTATTCTCTGTATCCGAACATCCTCTAGGACATCCTTCGTGATTTATTAACCTCCTGTAAGAGAGCAAGGCAAACGTAGGAATGGCATTTTTACTAATTCTCCACCAGAACATATCGATTTTTGGTTTTAACTTTAATTTTTTCCTCCATTTATAAGTTTCATCTTCGCTGATAATATTAAACTTCTTCTCATATATAATTGCTGCAACAGATTTTCCAGAGATCTTTTTGATACATTCCATTTTGTCTTCAGGTTTGCTTGAATGAATCGATATAGACAGGATTAAATCAATCAGTAATTTGCCAAAATAAATTTTTAATTTATCAATGTCCCAACTGCCATTTTTGATGAAATCAGAAACTTGGCTGAATTCATTTTCTATAATAGAGACAAAGGTATGCCATTTATCTAGAGTTTTATCAAGAATCCATATATCTTTGAAAGTATCAACATACTCTCCATTTGAAATGCTCCATCTCAGCACCGGAAATAAAAATTCAGCACCATTTTGAATTATCTTCCATGTCGAGGAGGGATTGTTGCGATATATACCATTCCACAGTACATCCCCATATCTAGCTCTTAAAACTCTATTTAAAAGAGTATCTGGCTTTATGATGAAATTGAGAGCATGTTTAGTTCTCAACGGTCCCAATTTCTCAACTAAGGATTGCACTCCATAACCTCCTTTATCTTTAGGCTTACACATATTACTCCATGAAACAAAATGCATTCCATAACTACCATCACTCTTATTCCATAGAAAATCTCTACACATACATTCCACTTTGTATAAAATACTCAAAGGAATCAAAGAGTGACTAGCTTGATATGTAGCTAACGAGAGAACAGAAGATTTGATTAAAGTGACTTTGCCCGCAAGAGAAATAAACTTTGTTCCCCAAATGTTCAATTTAGCTGCAGATTTCTCAATAATTTTGTTAAAATCCGCTTTGACTAATCTCCTAAGAGCAATTTTAAGTCCCAGGTAATCCAGTTCTTTCACCATCTTCATTTTGGTAATTTTGAGTAACGCTTTACAATCCTTTCTTTTAACTGATTTGCTGAAAATGACTGTTGATTTTTTGAAATTTATCTTCTGTCCAGTCCAAGCACAATAATTCTTTAATATTTTGTAAATATTTCTCAAACTAGACTTGTTTGCTCTTGAAAAAATCACAATGTCATCGGCATACATTAAGTGAGAAATTAAAGGACCATTTGAGCTAGCTTTAATACCGATTTTCTTCCCTGTGTTACCAAATTCTTCACTCAAGAGTTGAGAGCACATAATAAAAAGGAGAGGTGACAATGGACACCCTTGCCTAAATCCACAATTGGCTTCAATCCACTTTGAGCTTTGTCCATTGATTAAAATAGAGAACTTAGGATTAACCACACATTCCAAAATGATATTAGAGAAGGATTTAGGAAACCCAAACCAATTCATAATTTTTTTCAAAGTAGCCCAACACATGCTGTCATAGGCTTGCTCCATATCTATTTTGATAGCTACCAATCCTTTTTTAGCTTTAGAATGTCTAAACTTATTGAATAATTCTTGAGCTAGAAACACTTGAACAGCCATTGACCTTCCTTTGATAAAAGCACTTTGTACTTCCGAAATGATTTTAGGAAAAATAAAGCTCATTCTATTCAAAATCATCTTTGCAACAATCTTGTATATAGAGTTACACAAGCTAATAGGACGGAAATTATCAGGAGTTAATGGAGACACCACTTTGGGAATCAAAATAACACTGGTTTCCTTCCATTCAGGACACAGAATACCCGAATTAAAAAATTCTTTTATGGCAGACCAAACTTCATTTTTGATAATAACCCAGTATGATTTAATAAAAGAATAAGTTATTCCATCAATACCTGGAGATATGTTAGAACCCAAGTTTGAAATGACCTCCTCTAGCTCATTGAAAGTGAACTCTTTACTGAGCACGTTGCATTCTTCAATATTCAGTTGATATGCTGGATCTGGCCAACCGTTCAAGCTACAATGCCTGAATTTCCATTTATTGTTGAAGTATTTGAGAAAAATGTCTTCAATAATATGCTTATCTTCACAGAAGATCCCTTCCTCATTTTTAATACCATTAATTTTGTTAGAATTTCTCCTGGAAGAAGCATAAGCATGATAGAATTTTGAATTGGTATCTCCTTCATTCATCCAATGAATTTTGGCCCTTTGTCTCCACCACATGCTAAGCCTTCCCAAAGTATTGTTACGATTGGAGAAGATTTAGAGCAGCACTGTTGATAAGACACCGATCAAGCCTCTCTAATATTCTTCCTCTTCCATCTTTATTGTTGCACCAAGTATATTTAGGACCCAAATATCCAACTTCATGTAAGTCTCCTCTATTCATGAATGAAATCATATCAAGTGTTCCTTGAGAATGAACGAATTTCCTGCCTCCTCTTTTGTCATCTTGAGAGATTATACAATTAAAATCTCCCCCAATAATCCAAGGCAAATCATTATTAAAATAATTTTCCAAATCATGCCAAAGCTCTCTTCTTTTATTGCAATTCCTACTTCCATAGATGGAAGCAATCATCCAAGTATGATGGTTTTTTATTTTCAGTTTCCCAATTACCATTTGCTCATTAGCATCAGTAACTTCAAAAACAACCAAGTCTTGTCTCCAACAAACTAAGATTCCCCCTGATAAGCCTGAAGCCAGATATAGGAAGAAATCCCACCATTCCCCAATAAACTTTTTGATTTCCGTAAGTTCCATAGATGAAATTTTAGTTTCCATGATACCTACAAACAAAGCTTCATTCTCCTTCACCACTTCTTTTAAATACCTGGAGGCCACCACTTTCCTAACCCCCCTACAATTCCAAAAAATTAGAGAACTCATTTTTTCTTTGAAGTGGGATTGGACCCACTACAAATAATCTTTGAATTACCTTTCCTTGTTTTTGATTTTAAAGAAACATTCCCCAATGATCGAAGTTCCTTCTGCAATTTGATCATTATAAGTCTTAAATAGATATTGCTCATCCAAAAAGTAGTATTTGACATCATACAAAAATTTCTTTTCTAAGTAAAAGATAAATCAAGAGGAAGAACATTACTTAAAATAAAATTAATAATATCAGCATACCAAAGCAATCTACTTAGATGCAAAAAGGATACCACAAGTATAGATAGGCTTCATGGAGATTTAGAGGATCATTACAATTCTAAACTAGGAATTAAATAAAAATATCTGAATGAGTTATAGCATAATTATCTAAATGAGAAGTTAAAGCATATTTATCTAAGAGACTCAGTCCAAAGTCTAGATTAACAACAATGCTCATGACTCTCTTTTTAGTCCATACATACAATCACTTGTAATACATCCATAAATGCATCTTGAAACTCATAATTCTAAGCAACTCTTTTAGAATTCACAAAACATAATACTACTCATAACAATTAAGATTAATTTGAAGAGAAGCACGTAAATTTATGCTCGACCCTCAATGGACAGGGTAGAAAAAGCTTAATTTAAGGTCTTCGAGATGAGAAATGAGGGCTTTACCGGTGGAACCCGAGCTTTGTGGCTTTCTCAAAGGAAATCTTATCGGAGGGAGCAGACATCCAGGAAGACTCTCTGTAGACCCTAATCTCTAAATCTGATTCGGAGTGAACGACAGAATATTGAGGAGATTCGATGCCGGTGACAAAAATGAGAAGATTGGCGAGGATGATAAAAGAGACTGCGGCTGGATAACCCATCACTCTTCTCTTCTCCTCGTTTCCAGCTCTGCTGTCGATAAGAATAAGAAATGAGTATTTCGCCAGCACGATCAAGCTCTCAATCGTGTGATCCAACCAAATAAATGTTCTTGTGATGGTATCTGCGTATCTTTAGCCCGGCCTTTTCCACTGAAATTGTATGTATTCTTTTTTAATTTTTCCGGGAATAACGCGTGTACTAGGGCTGTTTTTTTTTTTTTTTTGGAATATTTGGGGCATCAGCCTAATTCATTGAGATAAAGGAAGGTTACAAGTAAGAAAATCAAATGCTTAACATAAAAAAATATGAAGCATAAGACAAAAACCCTATCAGCACAGGCTGCAAAACAAGAAAAAACTATAAAAATACAAGTAAAAGATGTAATTCTAAAGCAGAAAGGACTCAGTAAGCAATCAGCGAAAGAAGCACCCAGGCAGTCAAAAATTCCCCTGGTTGCCGACAAGAAGACCAGCTATCTCTGGCCGTCCAAGGGGAGTAAGAAAGATTGCAATAATCATAGTCCTTCAAAACACCCAGCCAGCCCCTGGTTGCATGAAGTAGCCGTCCGAGGGACACCAGCATACCTTCCACAGCAAAAAAGGCAAAGATCAAGTGAGTATATCCTGGAAGCGTTTTTTCCTGAAAAATCTTGAGATAAACAGCCCTATTAATCTTAGACGTGATGGTATTGATGATATCCATGTTGTTACTGAATAATCTGTCATTCCTAGATCTCCAAATGAAATAAACAATAGCATAAAGAGTAATAAAATAGAAATTCTTCCTATTGTTATCAGATTCCTTTTCCTCAATATCATTGAAAACCTGCCAAAGATTTGGTCTAAGCAGCATAGAATGCATTCTCGGAAAAAACCACAAAAGGATGCTAACAGAGAAATCGCATTCAAAAAGCAGGTGATTCTGTGTTTCATTATCAGATTTGCAGAAAACACAAAGCGGGCACACAGGAATTCCCCTAGCAGATATAGCAGATGCAGTCTTCAGTCCATTTTTAAAAGCAATCCATGAATAAATAGAAAACCAAAGAGAGCTGTGTTTATGCCACACAAACTTATGCCAGGAAACCACTTCATTCTCCTTAAAGAAAAGTTTAAAAAAGGTGTTGAAAGATGGCTTAGCAGATTTAAGCCAACAGCAATCGTCCAGCCCATCAGAAATAGGAATAGAAACAATCAGATCAACTAAATGCGCAGGAAGAGAAGCAGGAAGAATCCAATTACCATTAGATATAAGACTGCTAACAACCACATTGGAAGGGTAAATTAAAAATTCAAGATTATCCTGCTTAAGACGGTCTGCCACCGATTGCCCAAATCACCATGGGTCCCAAAAGAAAGATAGTTTGTTGCAGGATATGATTTTGAAATTTAAAGAGTGCTGAAGACTCTTAGCAACATCACAGAGACTTTTCCAATAAATAGAGCATTTAGAATTATGAGTGTTCCAAAAGGACCCATATTTTTCTTTCCACCAACAGAAAAGATAGCTTTTGGAACTATAAAATCTCCATATAATAGTGCAGCCACAAGCAAAGTAAAGAGATTCAGTAGACGGAATCCCAAGCCCTCCATAATTCTTTGGTTTGCAGGTCTCATTCCAAGAAATCAAGTGCAGTTTGCGTTTATGGATATCCCCATAAAATAAAAATCTAGAACAAAGGCTTTTGATCTTCTTAACACAGGTTCTAGGAATCAGAGTCCCACGAATCCAATAGAGCAGGATGTTATTGATGGTGTGATTGAGGTATTGCAGTCTACCGGTCATAGAAAGAGATCTAGCCTTCCAACCATCTAGAGAAACCATGATCTTATGCATAAGAGGCTGGAAGTCACCAATTTTCAGTTTCCTAAAAAAAATAGGGATACCTAGGTATTTAATAGGGGTGGAGGAAATTGGGATATTCAAAATGCTACTAATAGCCTGCTCATCCCTAGAGTTTTTAGAAAAAAGAATTTTTCTTTTGCTGCTATTCACCCTCAGACCCGTGAGGCTGGAAAAGCTGTATAAAATGTGCTTCAGGTAATGGGCATTATCCAAGGAGGCCCTAGCAAACACCAAAAGATCATCAGCATAAAGTAAGTGTGAGATGGAAGTGTTACCAGACTTCAAACCCAAGAAAGAATTATTTAAACTTGCATCTTCGAAATAAGAGGATAAACTGTTCATGGCAATACAGAACAAGTAAGGTGGTAATGGGCAGCCTTGCCTAAGGCCCGAGGAGGAAGGGAAGTAACCCTTAAGCCCCCCATTAATGGAAACAGAGAAGTAAATGTCGGAGATACATCCATTAATCCAGGAGACAAAAGTTTCAGGAAAGCCCTTGGCAAGCATACGATCAATCAAGAAATTCCTAGAAACAGTGTCGAATGCTTTGTGGATATCGAATTTGGCACAAAAGAATTGTTGCTTGTGATTGGTGTTGAAGTCTTTGAGAAGATCAGCCGCTAAAAGAATGTTATCAGAGATAATTCTGTCCTTGATAAATCCAGATTGACTTGGGTGGATAATGAAAGGCATTACATCTTTCATTCTATTAGCGAGGATCTTAACAATGATCTTATAGAATGTGTTGCATAGGGAAATAGGCCTGAAATCCGCAATATCCTGAGCATGAGGCCTTTTTGGAATAAGGGCAATAGCAGTGGCTTTAGCTTGCTTAGGCAAAGAACCAGTAGAAAAGAAAGACAGCACAACCTCAGAGAGTTGTCTACCAATAGTGTTCCAAGTAGATTTATAAAATTCGAAGGTGTAACCATCAGAGCCAGGTGCCGAGCAGCTAGGAGAAGAAAATACAACATTCTTAATTTCCTCCACAGTGATAGGAGAAACCAATTGAGGAATAGAGGAGGGGGGAAGCTGAAGGTGAATGGGAGCAGCCTAGCTTAGGATCCGTGGGGAGGAGTAGTGTTGAAGAGCTTTTGAAAGTGATTAACAATGGCCTTGTTAATATCAACAGGATTAGAGAAGGTCCCCTCGACAGCGGTGATTCACTTAATCTGATTTGAATTTTGTCTAACATTAATCCTGGAATATAAAAATTTCAGGTCATCCTCCCCATTCGACAGCCATTTGGCTTTTGCTCTTTGTATAATCCAGGATGACCAGTTAGAAGTCTTAGCAGCAAGTTGATGGTTAATGTCATTTAAGGCCAAATTAAGATCAGGATCAAGAGGAGAAGCCTGAATTTGACACAAAAAAAGAGTTCTGTGTGGTAGTAAGGTTGAAGATATCTTTCTGAAGGGGATTGGAGGAAACCCAATTCTTGGATTTAATACTGATCTTGAGAGTTTTAATCTTTTGGAAAAAAACATGGATAGGACTACTGTGGAATCTTTGAGAAAAAACCTGAATAAGAGAATCCCAAAACTCAGAATTAGACAGCCAATAATTCTTGAATAAGAAACGGTGTTTCTATTGTTTGTTAAGATCAATTTGCAAGATAATAGGGGAATGGTCTGATATCTGAGGGTTGTCCACAATATAGAAAGAGGTAGGGTAATTATCAAGCCAACTGTCGTTAACCAGCATCCTGTCTAATTTTATGTGAATAGGGTTGTCAGACCTTTGGTTAAACCAAGTAAAATAGTGCCCTATAGAAGAGAGGTCATGAACAACAATGTTTAAAATCAGATTGTTAAAATCAGATACTTTGCTATTCGAAAGTAAAGAACCGCCGGCTTTCTCATTGGTAGATCTGCAACAATTGAAGTCCCCTAAAATAATCCAAGGACTAGAAATACCATCAGCAATGTCAGTAAGTTCTTTCTAAAGATTAAGTCTTTCATCCATAGAATTCGAAGCATAAACAACAAAAACACAGTAAACTTCCGAGGAGCCCAAGAAAACAGAGCCATGAATTAACTGACTAGAAGTAAAAGCATGCTTGAAACTCACAGTAGTTGAGTTCCATTTAATCCAGATACAACCGGGAGACGCAAAATCGAAGTTATCATAAGAACCTTCATTGGGAAAAACAGAGTGAGTGGAGTTAAACCAGGGGTTATGATGAGAGGGAGGGGTGATTCTAGTTTCCAGAAGAAAGAGCAAATCCAGATTGAAGCTTTTAACTAAGTTTTTGCAACACAAAGCTTTGCAGAGCTATTGAACCCACGGGTATTCCAGGACGCCAAGAGAGGGAGCCTGGTCATTGGGATTTGGAGGTGGGAGTGGTGGCCTTTTTGGCCGATTTAGCTCTTGTGGATTTGGTTGTAGTGTTGTTTATCACATTTTGCGAATTAGAGTGACAATTGCTGGAAGCACTGTGTTTTTTGGTAGAATCTGGAGGTTTATCGAGTTGGTCATTGTGAGGGGAAGAAGTAGAAGGTTGGGAGACGGTCTGTACCATAGAGGACTCTGGTAAAGTGTCTTGGTTAGTAAGGGCATCAAATTTATTTTTAGTGGGGACAGGTGGAGAAGAATGCACTGAGATAGAAGGGGTAATAATGGTGGTAGGTGAGGGTGGGATAAAGTCCTCTGAGGGAGAATTAAGGTTGGGTATAAGTGTGGTTATTTCAACAGTCGAAGCTGAAGCTGGATCTGTTGAAAGAGAGGTTGAAGGGAGGGAAGTTTGGGACTGTAGTTGCAAGGTAGTCGGGTTGGGAGGTTTAGGTATGTTCAATCTCGGGGGTAGATTCCTGGGTTTCTGGCTGGTGCTTCTACCACCATTTTGAGGGAGCTCAGAGGTCTGCAGGTTTGGATTTTTGGGGCAAGCATTAGGGGCATGCATGAAGGAGTTACAGAAAGAACAATGGGAAGGCTTCCAGTCGTAAAGCACAGTCAGAGGAAAGGTTTTGTCATCCACGGTATAGTAAATCTCATCCGGCAAAGGCGATGAGCTACTTACCTGGACACACACCCTGGCAAAGGTGAGTCTCATTTTGGTCGCGGTAAGAGCATCCACAGCTAGCGGAATGCCGACACAGCTCGCAATCTTGGAGATACCCTCTGGCGTCCATCAAAAGAGCAGAAAATTTTTTATTTTGATCCAGAGCGGGATCGAAGGGAACTCCTCACGAATAGGGACAAAATCCAGAGTCCATTTCTAGAGAATGAAGGGTTTCCCAAAAAAGAACCATGGTCTGCCCGACCATGCCATGTCATAGTCTTCATGGTTGTTGAACTTGAGAAGG